GAGAATCGTTGATTGATGTTGCTTACAATTTCAATTATGAGGTTGTGTCTAAATCTTAAAAGGGATATACAACAAAGAATGAGAGAATTTCAGTGGATTTAGAGAAGATTTGTTCGTCACAACCAGATCTTAATACAATAGAAGTTAACTATGATAAGAAATAATTTACGCAAAATTTACAGATGTAGAGAATTGTTGAATATTGATGTCGCTTCAACTTTAGCATAATATGATTCTGGTGCAGCTAAGTGGACGAATGATGAACCATTGTTTCCTCGTCAAGCATGGTTACCTCTCGATCTAACTACCCATTATTGACTTTAGGATTTACATATATTTTTTCTAAATTATTAGAATTAGTATTTTATTAAATTTATCTTGTGATTTTCAAACGTTCAGCTGATCAAGTGTGGCAATGGAGGCAGACCGACAAAGTTCTCTTCCATTATTCACAATAAACACAACTTTGCATGAAACAAATTCCTACAAACACAAATCAATTTTGTTTATATGTCATCCAACAATATGATAGCGACAAATCATTACGATAAAATGTAGTGGGAAGTAAGCAACCGAATTCTCGGTATGCTGAATTTTTTTATTGAAATAACGGCATGCTGAAATTAAATTATTATTAAAAATTAAGATAAATTTCTCAATTTTTTTTAATCTGTCTTTTGGTTTGCTGTTATATTATGTTACAATGTTTTGTTTTGATCGAAAAACATACTTCTTATTAAACTACGTATAATTGTAACATCCCTCCTCCGGGCTTCCTATAGAGAAAGTAGAATAGGGTCTGTTAAGTCGGTATCAATACCTCATTCAGTATGACACCAGGTTGGGTCCTTGGTAGGCCTCAGGGTCGGCGAGGATCAAAAACACCCAAGAACAAACAACAACATAGACTTACTGATCTACCTATACCTGAAAATAAAATAGGGGAAAGAGGGTTGAGTAATGGGGATTACTCAGCGAGGATTGACCTTAAGGAGGCCCACAACACCATCATAACAAACAGAAGTATTTATAAAAAGTCTAATCCTAACACAAGCTTAAACCATCATTCAAACTAAGGTTCTAATGCCTAAACTAGCAAGCATTCACGGACAAACATGCCCTACAAGCAACTACCATCTACGGGTAACCGGCCAGATCACACAGACAGGTAAGACTACCCAATCCACCAGGTCATATAGACAGGCACCAGGTCACACAAACAGGTTCAATATTTTCCAGGTCAAACAGACAGGCACCATGTCACACAAACAGGCCTGGTGGGTCATCCCCCCACCGATGGTGACTGCTGAAGATCACACAGACATCATCCAGCCAACAACAAAAACTGACCCATCCTCCATGGGCCAGCGGCCTTACTGAGCATAACATAATACTAAAGAATAACAGATCATCAAACAATGTATTTTTTAAGGTTCCATAAGCCCAGATCTATATCAAATTAGTGTGTATCATTCCACCAACAACCAACAATCATCAACAAGCAAACAACATGGATCTAGGTGCTATTAATTCTATAAACCCTAACAGACAGATCTAACCATTGCTTTAAGAAGAGGCTAATTATAAATAGTTATGTATGAAAGAGAGGTTGAAGCATAAAGTCCTCACAAATGCCTTTATAGAAGAAGATCTACTTTAGCCTCCCCTTTAGACAGATCTGACATCCCACACGAGAACGGCGATATCTCCTTACTCAGATCTCTGATCAAAACGAACTTGGTCTCTTTAGAAAGCTGACACTTGGAGCTTCAATTTGATATGTTATAATTTACGTGGTTTCTCACGGATCGCCGGGAAATCATCTTGGAAGTTGACGGAGGATAGAAAGAGAAAGGTGACGAAAAAGAGAGAAAAGAAAGAGAGGCTAGAGTTTTCTGAAAGTGAAAATAAAAGATTAATAAAATATTTATAGTTAGACTTAATTTAGATGGGTTGGGTTAATGGGCTTTTAAAAAGAAATTAAGAAAAATTGATTTTTAAAAAAGATAATTAAAAATAATGGTTTAATCTAATTAAACTGGATTAAGAACTGGTAACAATCCTCATTCGGTTAACCGGAGGTTGGGTTGTTACAACAATGGTTTTTTTTTTCAACATCCTCTTTTTTATCTTTTAATAACATTCCACATTATCTTCTCTCTCTTCCACTTAATAATTCAACATCCACTCATTTTTATCTTCTACAATAGTTTTGTTTAGTAAAATTCAACACTCTAACCTATTACTTTTATTTCATATTTTTACTTTATTTTATGTTTTTTTTATTATAATTTGATATTAGATTACAATTAAATCAACTTAAAATACTAAAATAAATAAATTTGATAAATATTATATTTTACATTTTTAACCATATATTTTATTATTAACACGAAAAAAGAAACTTAGCTATTATTAAAACAAATACTATTATAAAAATTTTAAAATGTAATACAATACAAGAATAAACATATGACACAAATAAATAAAACACACATAACTTTAAATCACAAACAATTGTTAGGATTTGGATAGTTAAAAGGATAATTAGAAGAATTTTGGAAGCTAAAAAGGTTATATATTATTCAGATCTATTACCCTAAAAAGACAGATAAAGAAATAAAAAGAGTTTTTTAGCGGCTAATAGGAAAAATGAAATATAGTGAAAAAATGGTTTTTTTTTCTGTATCCAAATTAAGTGAAACAAGACTCTATTTATAGAGTGTGAAAAAATGATGAATTTTGGTATAGTAAAAATCAAATATAACTTTTTATGAAATAACTGATCGCAAATGATTTGGAGGGAAAAAAAAAAAATCTCAACAACAAATATGAATTGAACATGTGTCAATTTCATTAACTATATTTTTTTTTTTGCGTTCAATCACTAAATGTCACATGTCTCTTTGTTTACCTACACTTTTTCAACAGATTTTTTTTTTTGACACCAACAGATTTTAATATAACTCAGTTTTTTTCTGTTTTCAACAAACTATTGTATCCTCTCAACAGATCAATTATTTTATTCAACCCACCATTGTAAATGGTCTTAGTAGTATACTATATTTTATTAATATAGTTAAAATAAGGATTTAATGCAAAAAAAAACATCACCTTTATTTTTTTTGCAAATATGACTCTCATTTTTCAAAAATGCAGGTCAATCCCTTCACCTTGAAAGTCATCCGCTATATAACACCTCCGTTAAACACATGTTATATCTGCAACAGTTTTAAAAGTGCAGCGTTTTGTCTTAAAAGAATGGATGAAAAATCATGTTGTTTTAATACTAAAAAATATACACGTGTCTTAAAATTCAATGAGAGAGAATATAAATCAAGCTGTTTTATAAATTTTAATTATTTTTTGATACAATTGACAAGTAAAACAAAACCAAACATTTCTCCTCTATCATACGTCTGAGCACTCGTCTTCGTGAACCACGACTCATGCATTTCAGTCTCCAATATATTTCCATTGTGGTGTTTATGGTCGAAGAAGACCGAATTCACCGTCTTGATCATGTCGTCTCCACATTTGAACAGAGAAGAAAGCTTAATATTCCTCTTTCCCATCGATAGATTATGTTTCAAGAACCCTAATTTTATCAATTTTTCCAAATCGATAATAGCAAAAAGCATTTCAAAACCAAAACTATGTGCAATTTTATTTATAAAAAAATGTAATGAGTGAAAGAGTGGTTGCAGTTTTTATACTGATAAAATGAGGCGTTTAATTCTCCGTGTGTTTTTTTATGGAATTTAAACATTTGCCACATCATCAATATAGGCTGGACTGTTTTGCGGGTGACTTTCAAGGTAAAGGGATTGACCTGTATTTTTGAAAGGTGAGAGTCATATCTGAAAAAAAAATAAAGGTGATAGGTTTTTTTGCATTAAACCCTTAAAATAACATAGTTGTAATATTTCTGTTACAACTATTGGTTTAGGTTTTATTTTCGTGATTAGCTATAAATTTGTAAGGTAAGATTATAAGGTTTGCAATCTTATTGACCAGTTTTACTTTTTGATACTAGCCAGAAAATTTATTGGCTTATGTTTGTGTTTAAATTTAGCTAAACCAATAGTAAGTATTTAATAAATAAATGAAAAACAAATTATATCCGAAAGTATTTATTTTTAAAAAAAAATCATATGTATGTTAGTTATTATTATGTATTTTGGGTTGGATGAAGCAAAAAGATTGAAATTATATAATGTTAGACAATCAAAATAAACTAGGTATTCATCAATACTATTCAAGTTAAGTACAATGAATTTTTAACATTAATTTAATAGTTTTTTTATAAATTACTAGAAATATTACAATAACAATTCTATAACAGAATAATTAGTCAATAAATGGGCTAAGGAGCTTCCACAATCATTTATTTAATATAATTTTTCAATGGTTGAAATTAAATAAAAAATTCATTTTTCTACATTCAATGAAATATATCTATATATCTATATCTATATATATATTCACGTCACCTATCCCAAAATCCACTATTATTGCCATGTTATTTGGAGAGAATGTTATTAGAGGCTAAGTGATCACATACTTAGAAAATGTTAGAACATGTTGTATAAGGCCACATTTTCTCAAAATCATTGAGTTGTGCTGAGTCATCAGGAGATTGTGGAATTAGGGGGATGAGTGGTCTAGGAGCTACGCAACAAGTACAATCCGGCAATCTGAACAGTTTATATACATCATTTTACATGCTTTTATATATGCATTTAATTAAATATTTTTCCATAAGTGTTTATAGCATAAACAGTAGTTTAACGAATTTCCAAAATTTTAAGTCTAAGCCTGCATGCAAAATGATTAGAAAAAATATTCATATGGCGCCCAAAGAGAAGAATAAGTCCTGCAAAATACTAATATGCATCAGAATTTGATTAGTTAATTTAAAAATATGGCATTCAGAACTTATTTGATTATTTTATACTCAGAATTTTTTTTTTTGGGGTCAAATACTCTGGATTCTTATGATCATAAAAACTCAGATTCTTATGAGCATCTTTCTACCAATGAACTAGCACGCTCAAGTTGTAGCTTGAAAGTTAAATCTTTAGAATGTCAGAATTCTCTGTTTTCTGCTTGAAGTAAGTCTATCAATGAAAAACTGAAAGAAAGCATAACAAAGCATGCCCAAAAATCCGTAAAGCGGTCATAGAAACTCTTGTGTAGGTTTCTCTTTCACTGTTTTGGTAGAAGCAGCCATCATCTTTCTTTACGATATTCAATGGGAGAACCATGGTAATCCAGACTCAAGGCAGCTTCGTCCCTCCAGTAAGGGAACTATAGGTCCCAAGAAGAGACGCCATAGATCAAGAATGATTGTTACCAACATAGCAGCGCCTAAAGCATCAACAGCCACACGTGATAAATCCCACTCATCACTTGATTTCTCTTCCATCCTGCAAAACCAATGAATCAAACGCATATATGAAAAAAAAAAAAAAAAAGGCCAGTTCGAGTATAACACTCAAGAGCAATCTTGATATGCAACAATCATGACACTGAAAAGACTCAACAGCTTCTATGAGATGGAAAATCAAGAAACTCAGAATACAGAAAATTATGGTTTACCTGAAGAACATTGGGAAGCTCACAATGAAGTAGATGGCATAGAACAAACATCCAACTCTGTACATGGCACTTCGGTCCACAAACTCATAATAAGGAAACTGCACATGTTTAAAAGAGTCAAACAAGATTCCAAAATGATTAAGTAGCAAAATCTATATAGCCTGTGTAAGCAGACTACAAGAAGAAATTTATAATCAAGATATAAGCTATTTACTTGATCAAACACGAAGTAAATTGCTTTCTAGGATGAACTAGCTAGAAACACAAAAACTAAAGATCTACAAGAGAATGAACATGACACCATACATTTGCGATAGCAACAGTCTCCAGGTATGCAATGAAATAAGAAAGCGCCAGTATCCATGCAGCTTCAAAACACCATCTCAGAGAGTCTGGTAAATCAGCAATCGAGTGTCGTAGCCTTCGAAGAGTCATGTTCGATGCAACGTGGTAAAAGAGGAAGCAAACATGTGTTAGAAAGAACGTTGTGTGGGGCACCTGTTCAAACAAAAAGAAACCTGCCATGATGAGTTCATGGAAACACGAAAAACACTCAACGGAACAAAGCCGAGATTATCCAGTAAACCTGTTTTTTGCTTACATTATTCATTTTCCACGATGGGAAAGTATAGGACGCACCAAGAACTTGAAAGAAATAGTGAGTCCAAAAGTAGTTTCCCACATAGCTGAAAATAATTATCCAGAGATTTGCCTGTGGTAGAAATTATGTCCACAATCAATCAATACAACTATGGTAGAAATTAAGTCCACAATCAAAACGACAATCAAAAGAAACTCTCACAAACTATCCTTAAGGAAAGTATCAAACCAAACTTAAATAGAAAGAGCTTCCAGAGAGAGAAGAAATTAGCTTGAAACTAACACTGGGCAGCAGAATTTCATGGACAGAGAAGAAATTAGCTTGCCTTAACCCAATAACGGTCTTTCCAGCATAAACTTCTGTCAGCCTGAAAATAACATAAATTTTGGAGTCCATTTATACGTAAGGAAGATAAATAAAGGTTTTTGCTTTCAACTAAACGTAAGCAGATAAAATATGGCCATAGACAAGAAACTAAAGCACCAACATATTAAAGCTCACAGTGAAAGCAAAAGCTTTCAACAAGTAGCAGAGTCAAACAAAGCTTCTATACTGCCAAATAACATATAATATCATCTTCACTGTTTGGATATTAAAGTGTAAACCTTTCCGATAAAAGATACAACAGAGAATGACAGTGTAAACCTTTCCGATGAGTAGCATAGGTATCACGAAAGCTGGAACAGCAGAGACCAAGGCCAAAAGCAGATACTCCAACTCCGTGAATGTCTACTAGTTTGGCCAAGAAATTAAAAACCCTTTTTAGTATTGCATGATTGGATACCAAAAGATAGAAACTTGACTGCATCCCAATACAATTCAAAGATGAAATATTCTCATCTCTAAGGATTTGGAGAATCGGACCTCGTAAAGCTTGTAAGGAACAACGATTCCTAAAGAGAGAGTGAGCCAGAAAGGAGTATAGAAGAGGAAGAAGAGCTCTCCCCATCTTTTGCTCGGATTCTCTGCTAGCCACAAGCTCCGAGAATCACCACCACCACCACCAGATCCTATCATTCGCCAGGGAAAAAAAAAACTCAATATTGAGTGATGTTAAGTGTGAAAATCGGATTTGAGAATCGGAAACAGAAGAATAGATCGGCGTTACCTGACATAATCACTCCGCCGGAGAATCTGAGATTGCTCGCCGGAGAAAAAGAAAACGAAACGATGGTTGACTAGAGTGAGGGTGAGATTGGGTTCGTTTTTGTACGGTCGACCAAAAAAAAAAAAAAAAAATCACCCAATCAAGGTGACGTGGCAGGTGTACTGTGTGATATTTTTGAGGAAAACTAGATCCGCTTCATCATGGGCATCTACGTTCTCGTTATTGGGTGACATCACTCTCTTATTTAGGATTCAACTTTTTTTTCTTTTCTTTAAATGTTAAAGTTATTGAACTATTTGAAAATATTTATAATAAAAAAAAGAATAAATCGAATCAAATTGCTACAAAACAGACTTAATAATCAAGCAATAAGAAAAAATAGACTTATAGTATTCAACCTTTTCAATTACATTTTTTTTTTTCTAACTCTACTTACTAAGACATGATAAAATTATATTTATGGACTTTCTCTGTTTGTGGTCTATAATCATTTCGATTTTCAAGTGGAGGTGAGATTATTTGGTTATTCAGTTCGGTTTAATTATTTAATTTTTTGCTGTTTTTAAGTTTTAATAAATAGATCATATACGAAATCAAATTTATATTGGTTTTGTTCGATTCAGATTTATTTTTCAGACAAAAGTTATAGAAGAATCCAAATTAATTAATTAATTGCTAATGATATTGTAGATTTTATTGTATTTAAAGTTATCATATATATTTTTAAAATTTTGATTACTACGGCTAACTTTATTTGGTTTCATACAAATCATATTCGGTTTGGGTTCGAAATTGGATAATCCTATTTTTTACTAATAAAAGTTGAAGCTATAGGCTTCTAAGGGTGTCCACATAGGATTCAAGATTACAATTTTATTGGTCCACATCAACATTCAAAAATAAGGAAAGTTTACAAGTTCTAATATTATTGTTGAATAAGGAAATTAAAAAAGTTTACAAATTCTAATATAATTGCTAAATAAAGAAATTCTGTATAATTTTTTTATTGGTTCACTTCAACATTGAAAATTAAAAAATTTACAAATTATATTATTGTTTTTTTTAAATTATTAAAGATAAAGAAATTATATATAATTAATATTAATAATAAAATAAATTAAAATAAATAATATTAAAATACGAAATTTTTTTTTTTGATTTTTTTTTTATGAAATGTTAAATTCATTGATCACTGTGAAAAATATTTTCAGTGTTTGTAGAGCAAAACAGAGCATAACCCGAAAATACAAAAAAACTCAGAGATAAATATGAGTAAACGAAAGAGAGCTGCTCTCAGGGAGGAGCCACCGTGAACCATCTTTGCATCAGTAGGTGGAGCTTGGGATCTGTGTGGTATTGCAGAGAAGTGATCCTGTTACGAACCACTTTATCAATGAGACGAACAAGTTGGGAAGCTGAATAGAAACCGCTCCGGTGGATACGAGAGTTCTGTTCCCTCCACAAATAATACACCGTCACCTGAAATACCAGCCTTATCAATATAGTATCCAGTCTGTCTCCCTGAAACGTTTGAATGGAGTTAACTGTATCTGTCCAATCTGGGGTCTGACGGTTTCGAAGGAGCCTCCCCGCAAGGTCTGACCATACCGTGAAAGAGTATGGACAGGCAAAGAACAAGTGATCCCTGGACTCATCTCTTTCGCCACATAAGACACAAGCTTGATCTGCTCCCCATCTTCTCATTCGAACACCCGTAGAAAGCCGGTTTCTAATAGCCAACCAGGTGATAAACCTGCATCTTGGGATCCCATGATTAAACCAGAGTAATCTCCACCATTGGACCGGCGGGTGATGAATACGAAGCTGATTCCATGTATGAGGCGACGAGATTCGATCTTTATATGACCCTGCCTCAATACGCCAAAGATAAAAATCAGGTCCATTTGCTGCATTTGGGATCGGATGAGCGCGAATATGTTCCAGTACAGTATCCAGGTGCCGCATCCTGGTTCGACGAATCCTCCATCCTGTTGGAGTTGAGGCGTCAGACACAGTGGCGTTGAGAGGGATCACCAGAAGCCGTGGACCTGCGTCTCCTATGATATCGATCAATTTCCCCAGGGAGAGCCAGTTTTCATGCCAAAAAGAAATTGTTTGACCGTTCCGAACAATCCCCTGAATAAACGGACTAGTAAAGATCCGTAGTTTGAGAAGCTTCCTCCAGATCCGAGAGCCCTGAGTGTTGTTAGGGGCTATCCAAAAACTTTCATTTCGCAGCAGAGTACGCTTCACCCAAGCAACCCACAGAGATTCCGGAGCCGAGAAAAGTCGCCAAATCAGACTCAGATCAAACATTTTGGACACATCCCTCAGACGGCACAAGCCAAACCCGCCCTCTGACTTCGGCCTACAGACTTCTTCCCAGGATACCTTCGCTCCAGTAGAAATGTTGGGTTTCCCGACCAAAGAAAGGCTCCACAGAGGGCCTCTATCTCATCCAGACAGCTTGCTGGCAAAGGAAAGGTCGAACACCAAAAATTGGATAGGCTCATAATAACTGACGTGATGAGTTGAAGACGCCCTGCGTAAGAGAGCTGTTTGCAGGTCCAAAAGAGCATCTTTGTTCGAATCTTATCGACCAGCGGTGCGTAATCGTGACGAGTCATGACTTTAGTAGTAAGCGGCAGGCCCAAATAACGAATGGGGAGAGAATCCTGAGGAATTCCCAGCTCCGCTGCAGTCGCAATCACAGATTGGCTATTACGGCCACCTACAAACAGGGAAGAATTCGCAGCATTGATATGCAATCCGAAAATCTTTGTGAATTCCTCGAATACTCTCATAGTTCCACGAAGTGATTGCGAGGAGCCATCCGTGAACACAAGAATGTCGTCCGCAAAGGAGAGATGAGTGACACGCACCTGGTCACATCGTGGGTGGGTACCTATTCTGGCCTCCTCCACAACTTTCTCGAGAAGCTTTGATAAAACGTTTTGGACCATTACAAAAAGATAGGGTGAGAGAGAACACCCTTGACGGATTCCGCGAGCACTGTGAAAGACCCCCTCCAAGTCTCTGTTAACAATAACTGAGAAGTAAGCCGTTGAAATGCAACAGAAAATCCAATGAATGAATAGTTCCGGGAAACCCAGCGCTTGGAAGATATCGGTAATAAAACTCCACTGGACAGTATCAAAGGCTTTTGAGATGTCAAACTTGATAGCACTGTGAGGACTAATGGTGTCTTTGTGATAATCCTTTACAAGCTCAGTAGCAAGGAGAATATTTCTAGGAGTAAACGCCCTTGAATAAAAGCACTCTGATTTGATTCAATGAAGTCGGTTATAATGACTTTCAAACGGTTTGCCAGGATTTTAGATATAATTTTGTAGACTATGTTGCAGCAGGCAATCGGCCTATAGTCTTTCATGGAGAGGCAAGATCCATCCAATCTTTTCGGAATGAGAGCCAGTAGAGTAGCGTTTATTGATTTGGGCATAAAGCCGTAGAGGAAGAACGACTGAACCGCCACTACAAAATCATGCCCAATAATGCTCCATACTCCTGTATAGAACTCCTTAGTGAAACCGTCAGGACTAGATGCTTTTTCAGATGGTATAGAGAACAGAGTACTCCTGACCTCCTCAGCAGTGATGGGAGCGATTAACCCTGCACATTTTTCAGGAGGGCATCGATATTCTAATAAGTGCTCAAGATATCCAAGAGGAGCAGAATGGAAATGTTCATCCTCCATTTGAAGGAAGCATCGGAAGTGTTCTGCAGCTGCGGCTTTTATACCATCCGGAGATGTGATCTCCTCACCCGTATCTGAGAGTAATTTGCGGATGGAGGTCTTTGAGGCTCTGGCCTGAGAAACTCGATGAAAGAAAGATGCGTTACAGTCACCACATCTTAACCATTGTATCCGGGATTTCTGTTTGAAGAACTGTTCCTCTAACCCAGCTAGGTGATTCCACTTGTCAGAAGCATCAGCGACCGCTGCTAAATTCTCAACAGAAGGGGAGGACAGTGCATTGTTCTGAGCGTCACAGAACTGGGCAAGAGCCTCTTTGGATAGCTGGGGAAGGTTCCCAAATTTAGTCTTATTAAGCTCCCTAAGAGGGAATTTCAAGCTCTTGAGCTTCTGGTGGAATAGAGAGAGAGAGAGCCACTCTCGAATGAAACAGAGGAGGAGATGCATTCCAGTGTTGGTTGATGATAGACAGAAAATCCGGATGGGTTGCCATAAAATTGAAAAACCTGAAAGGCCGTCGAGTGGGGGAATCCACAGACTGGAGGCGTATCAGACACCGAGAGTGGTCAGAAATACCACCCGCTTCGAAAGAAGCGTATGAATGGGGGAAAAGAGACAGCCAGTCTGAGTTTATGAGAGCACGATCCAACCTCTTGGCAATTGGATTTGAGTCTTGATTATTTGTCCAAGTAAAATCAGGGCCTGCGCAAGAGAGATCAGAGAGCTCACAGTGCGCGACAGCGTTCTGAAAATCTCTGATTCCCTGCGAGCGAACATGATAATCCAACCACCGAGAGTGATCTTGGAGAGCTAAAATTTCATTAAAATCCCCTAGAATGATCCATGGGATCGGAACTTGCGCAAGAGAAGAGTGAATATTGCAGAGGTCTGTCCAGAGCTCTCTCCTTTCTGATTCAAAATTCGAAGCATAGACAAAGGTGCATAAGAATTTTTTCCCCATAGCTATCTCCAAGACACTACAAGTAATGTGTTGAGCACTTTTGAAGATTGGGCTGATGTCCACAGCATTAGACCATCCAATCCAAATGCGACCCAATCGATGTTTATCATAGTTCGTGAATGTTGTCCAGCCTGGGATTACGAAATCCATAATATCTTTGGAATAGTTTTCTTGCACTCTTGTTTCAACGAAACAGCCAAAAGCTGGCTTAACTGATTGAATCCAATGGCGAACTACGTCGTGTTTGCGAGGCTTATTGAACCCTCGCATGTTCCAAGCAAAAAAGGACGTCATAACTTCCTAACGGAAGTTTTTTTGTTGATTTTCAGATCCACCTCCTTGCGATTACCAACTGATCTGTATGGCACACGAGCTCTGTGTCGATGCTTATTGGTTACTCTTCGCGCACTCGACTTACGATTAATCTTTGCCACTTTCTTTTCATCATTTGCGTCAGATGATTCCACTTCTCCCTCTTCAACGCTGATATCCACGTTTGCCTCAGATATCTCACCATCCTCACGGAGGTCCTCAAGGACACCAAAACCATTTGGGGATAGCGACCCTATCTCTTCTTTGTCTTTTGGGAGAGACTTCAGTGGAGAGGAGCTCTTCCCTCAAGCTACAGTTTTCCAATCAGACGTGTTGGTTTCCACAACCTTATCTATCACCTCTTGGCTTACTTCGACCTGGACCTCCTCTAAGTTTTTCTGCTCCTTAAAGGGAGGAGTACGCTCAAGATCCTGGAGCAGTTTTGAGCGATCTCTTGGACCGACACTACATCTGTTGTCTTGTCCGACACAACCTTGTCAATCACGGTAACTTCTTGCACACTCTGCATAACATCTCTAGGTAAAATTTTGATGCTACTTCCCGAGCAATCTTTTCCGGTATGGCCCCATTTGCAGCAAATGTTGCAGTGGGGGGGGGGGGAAGCCACGGGTAAGAAATATCCACTGTAACATCATCACCACTCTGATTTTTTAAGCATATTTATTCAGTCAGAGGTTTCTGCAGGTTCACTTCAACCAGTATGCGGGCAACGTCCATACGTATACAGCGCTCGGTATTAGGGTGTAGCTTCACAAACTTTCCTGAAGTTCGAGACAAAAAGCTGAGGCCTTTATGTGAGAACAGGTAACCAGGGACTCCACGGAAATCAACCCATAGTGGCATAGCTGTTAGATCCGGAGGGGAGCCTGCTGTTTCAGGGTTCCATTTGTTAACAATAAGTGGCGTATCCGCAATATGCCAGTACTTCCCTCGCAACACTCGTTCACGCATCTGGTCGTTTACAACCCTAAACAAAACCGTAGTTTTGTTCAAAAACTGAACGTCGATCTTAGCCATCTTCTCGGTAGAATTCCAGATTCGATTCACTGTCGCATGAATTGTACCAACATGGGGCGCATCCCCCATAAAATATCCAACCACAAAGCACTTCCAGAGAGGAGTAGCATCAACCATTATCTCTTCCGGGATAGTTACTGTAGCAAATCCATCAAACACGACAAACTCAGGGACTAACGCGGATGGCGATGACGAGTGATCCGATGTCACTGACGCATAGGAAAATGTCACAGGGGAGCTTTCAGGGCAGGGGCTGTTTAGTGACGGGGTGGGGGCTGCCTCCGGCACTGGAGGAGGCTCCATGGCCGGCGACAGGGCTTGCTTGCAGGGAACGAAAAAATCGCCTCAGAGAGCGGCTAAAATACGAAATTTTTAATTTTAAATTAGATGTATACACATATTTAGAGACTCTTACATTAGCATCCAATTTTTTGTCACGTATAACAATTTTGAAAATTTTTTTTTTTCTGTGTGTGCAACCATATAAAAAAAAAAGTTAAATTTCACTAAAAAATGAGTCAGTTACAGCATAAAAGAACCAACTTGACAAACTATTAGCTAAATTACAATATATATATACATATATATATATATATATATAATGAAAGAAGATATAAATTGAGAAGAATGATAAATTCCAAGCAATCCGAAAAAAATGTCAAGTGATTGATATTCGACACTTTTGAAAAACGAATCACATAAAATAGAGAAAGAAGTTTAATCATTAAGATGAAGAAGATTGAGGTATCCAAGGAAGATTTTTGAAATAACATGGCATCTGATGGGGTTTTAACAACCTAACTTTAACCACAAAATTAAGAATTAGCTGACCAAGCAGCATCAGAATACATTCGGTAAGCCTCAAAACCAGGAAGCTTCTAAATCCTATTACTAAGAAAAATTAAAGCTATATGCCTTTAATAATATCCATATAGGATTTAAAAGTTCAATTCTATTGGTCCATATCAATATTTAAAATTAAATTTTTAAAAAAATTCTACTGTTAACAAAAACTGTTATTTATAAAAAAATAAAAGTTAAAGCTATATGCATCTAATGACATCCACATAAGATTTAAAAGGTCAATTTTATTAGTCTACATCAATAACTAAAATTAAAAAAATTTCTAAATTATAAAATTACATTGTTAATACAAAACAATATAAGAAAAATTGTTAGTTAAAATTCATAATAACAATTAAAGCTAAATTATTTTCAATATTAAAGTAGGAAAATATGAAAATTTTGAATTTAAATTAGATGTATGCACACATATTTAGGGGCTCTTACATTAGCAATCAAATTTTTGTCATATACTATAATAAAATTTAAGTTTTTTTTCCTTTTGTGTGCAATCATTTCAATTAAAACAAAAAAACAAAAATATAGAGTTAGGTTTCACTAAAGAATAAGTTATTACAACGTAAAAGAACAAATTTGACTAAACTATCTGTTTAAATATTAGCTAAATTACAAAGAATATGATGAAAGGAAATATAAACAAAGCCACTACAAGTTGTTTTAATAGTGAAAAAGAGACTATAAAATCTTTAAAGCTTGACCATCGAATTTGAGAAGAATGATAAATTCCAAGCAATCCGAGAAACATGTCAAGTGATTGATATTCGACACTTTTTAAAAGATGAAACACTGAAAATAGAGTAAGAGATTCCGTCATTAAGGCGAAGAAGACTAAGGTATCCAAAGAAATTTTTTGGAATAACATGACATCTAACAGAGTTTTGACAACCCAACATGAACCACAAAGGTAACAATTCGCTGACCAAGCAATATCCGAATACATTTGGTAAGTTTCAAAACAAGGAGGAGAGACCAAAATCACTTGCCGCAACGGGCTTCGTGTGGGATCTTCCAGCTTTGATTTCTAAATCTATTACTAATAAAAGTTAAAGTTATATGTCTCTAAAAGTGTCCACATAGGATTTAAAAGTTCAATTTTATTGGTCCACATCAATATTTAAAATTTAAAAAAATTCCAAATTTTAAAATTATATCATTAACAAAACATATATTTATAGAAAAAAAAATGTAAAATAATATTGTTAACAAATTTTTCTATTATTAATAACAATTAAAGCTATATTATTTCCAAGGCATCCACATCAGCATTTAAAATTTCAATATTATTCGTATATATCAAAATAGTAAATTAAAAAAAAATTTTCTTAATTCTAATATTATTGTTAAGAAAATAAATTAAAAACTAAAGAAATTTATATTAATAAAAAAATAACATGATATTAAAATCTTCAATATCACTGTTTAAGTTACAAATTTAATTTGTTATCTATAATAAAAATATATCCTACTTATACAAGATTAAGTTACTAGATTTTAAAGCTTTTCACCTTAAAATTGTAAATAAATAATAACTATGATTTATATTCATCTAAATTTTTGTTACATATGCAAAACATATTTTCACATAATCTCATGTAATATATTATGCGAAAAAAATACATTTGTATATTCGATTTGGAATTGCAATATATTAATAGAAATTCTTAGTTTTTAGTTTTTCAATTTGTTATTAATTTTTTTTATATTTTTATGTATTAAATTGTACCAGTTTTGCCTACTTACTTATAATTACAAAAAGTGAGAATGAATATAATGAAACTGAATATAATCATACAAAAATCATTAAAATATATAAATAAGATTGAAAAAACATATAAAACAAGAATAAAAATGAACATGATGAAAACAAATTCATTCTTATTAGAAGAGATGATGTGTAATCATTGAAAAATTATTTAAAATTTAATACAACCAATTGACAAAAATATATTTAATTCACATATTTTGTGTGATTTTATTCATATCATATTCAACTATGATTTTGGTTTCAAAACTAAAGTTGTTATTAATCTCAAAGTAAATATTTTATTTATTAGTTGTTTTTTAAATTAATAAATCAAAATAAAATTTTGTATTGGTTAAATAAAACCAGAAAAATATTAATGTTTTATAAAATAACACATATATAATTGAAATAAAAATGAAATTGATGAAAAAATAATTTTTCCTTCTTGATTTAAAGAAGTGAATGTATAATATTTTATTATCATATCAATACTATGTTTTAAAAGTAGCATTTGATTAATTTGTAAATTTTTTAGGTAGTTTGATTATATTAACTTATAAGTGTTTGATAAAATAACACATTTTTAAAATACAAAATTCAAAACAAAACCGTTAAAACATCACAATTTACATTAAAATTATTATATTAACATCATAATATTTTTAATATATTATCAAAACACTAATATATAAAATTTATATCATAATAGATATAATTGATTGTATATAATTTTTATCAACAAAATACCCACGCGTAGCGTGGGCGTAAAATCGAGTTCAATATAAAAATTTATTCTACTTAATTCAATTCAAAACAGATTAAATAAACGGATTAGTTTAATTTAACATTTTTATCTATAATCAGTAGTTAAATATATTATGAAATAAAAATAAAAATGTTTTTTTAAATTTTTAAATATTTTTCTTAAAAAGTTATCCCCTGCTAGCTTTAGCACGTGTTAAATCCTAGTTTATGTTATTTTGTAATTCAGCTTGGGAATTACGGCCCAATCCTGATAACGAGTTAACAAGATTAAAATCATGTATTAGAATTGCATGCACAGTAAGCCTATAAAGATATAACTCGTTCTAAATAAAGTATTTCTTGGGCGTTTTCTACTATATATACATATACATATATATATATATAATATAGAGTGAATTTGCTATAAATTTATAGAATGGGACGAAATTAGGAAGATGGTAAAAACAGTGAATGGAGGGAGTTTGGAAATTTCGAAATGGCGGTACATTATGAAAAAGCCCCGCCCGACAGCTTCTGCTAATTAGGGATGATTTTATTTTTTTTTAAAATAGATATTATGTAGATATTATCAGCCGTTTTAGACTTCTATAGCGGTTACTAGGTCTGGAACTAGGTAGCTGCTGTCCACAGAAAATTCTCTCTCCCGAAGCTGAGCATTTAATAGCGTATCTGAAAGATTTCCTTATGTGGATGTGGCATGACATGTATGTATGTATGTTTATGGTATTAGGGTTTTTTACGCTCTATATAAATAGGTATCGGCCACATTTCTTAGTTCACCAGCCACCAGATAAAGAAAGAATAATATAAAAGTTAAAGGTTATCTTCTTGTTGATTAAGTCGAGAAAGATTTTCCGGTTTCGTTCGTTAAAGGTATGTCCCCAGTTATTGCAGTTGTCTTCAATTTATTCTTTCTGTTGCATATTTAATAGTTCTGGTAGAGTTGTAAAGTGTAGAATCTGTCGTATTGCGCAATAAATGATAAGAATTTATTGATGTCGTTGAGAGTAACCTGGATAAAAAGGAAGTATTTAGATATTTACAGTGTTTTCGGTTTTGGATTTACAGATGGTTGGAAGTTTGGTGATGCTCATTCGCGGAAGTTGGCAGAGAACAGAGGTCGGCACTTGGAACTTTAAGGTGGACAGTAATGGAAATAGCTTCTGCGTCATGATGGCAGAGAACTCGAGCTTCGATGAGCTGATGAACAGTGTGAGGGCGTGATGCTTGGTTGACGCGGCGACGGAGATTGCCTTAAGCTACCAGTTCCCAGACTGGATGTTGGTTCCAGCCGGGCTGCCGACGCCGCCTATTGATGTGATGAACAGCTCAGATGTAGAAGTGTTCATGGCGGTTCGTCAGGAGGTTCTAAAACTACCGATGTATGTTACGGTGAGAACGGAAGAAGTTAACCGTTACAGGTTCCAGAAGAGTGCTACATATGACGTTGGAGGTCCATCAAATCCAGTATCTGCACAACCTCCTCATATCCAGTTTGGAACTTTTGACTACCGAAGTAAGAGATTCATTAGCGGTTAAATAAATATGAAAAACGGTGTACAGTTTTTGAGATTAAGATGTTGATTGGTATTTTCATGTACAGGTCTTTCAACTAGGGACTGCTTTCCTTGCAGCGTGAGTGTGTTAAAGGAGATCTGCACGGCAGAGGAGTTGGCAATCCTGGAAAAACATTCAGCAGAACTGGAAGCACAGCTGTTGAAAGAGAGGACTAATATGACAACAAACCCGGTGATCGAGCTAAGTGACAAACCGGCGTCTGCGGGGTCAAGCAACAGACCTGGTGACGGAGGCAGCCCGCACGAGGGAATCATCAGGCTGGCCGAAGAGGAGGATACAGGGATGGGACCTGCGAGCTTCGATGCTGCTCTAGCTAACCTGGCGTTGATGACTCCAGTGAAAGGTATATCATAGATATTTCGAAACAGCTGTAATGGAGGTTGATAAGTTCTAATGTAACGTATAACGCAGGTGGGACACGAAACTTCTCCGTAGCTGAGCTGGTGACACCTAATACTATGAAGTTCAGTGGTGGAAAAGGAAAACAAAAGATGGCAGACAATGACTCTGATGGAGACACTAATCTGGCTTTGACGCTGGCTTGTCCGAGTGGGTCAGATAACAATGATCCTATGAGTAGTGATAGTGAAGAGGAGGGCATGGCACAGGAAGTATTCGTGGGTAAGGAACATGATAGCATTTAACAAATTTATTAACGTCTATAATTTAATATTCGATCACTGTAAAATATGTTAAGTGTAAATGAAATAAGTTGTGAAGCGTAAATTTATTTGAAACTATACAGGTGATGGGTTAACTAGAAATGAGGAGGTGTATGTGGGGATGATGTTTAAAAATCGCGAAGCTTTCAAACTACACATGGCTATGTACGCACTTCATCAAAAAATTTGATTCACTCACAAGAGGTCAACACCAAACGTTATGGTCCTAGAGTGTGTTGGAAAAAGTTTTATGCCGTAAGATCGGTGGGTCGGAGTGGTACCAAGTTAGAAAGGTGAAAGCCGACCATTTATGCACGGTTGATGAAAGATGAAACTTTCAAAGGCATGCAACATCGAGTGTGATAGGGGACATGATGCGGGCAAGGTACGCGGGTCGGGGTGGTGGTCCAAAGCCTAATGAAGTAAGGGAGATGATGATGGCAGATCACGATGTGCCAATATCATACTGGAAGGTAAGCATATTTGTGAAGTGTATGATGTGCGTTAAAGTGATACTAGAATATGTAGACGATATTTATTTTAATATAGGCTTGGCGATCTCGACAGGTAGCGATGGACTATGCAAAAGGGACAAATGGAGGGTCTTACAAGTTGTTGCCGGCTTACCTAAAGCAACTGTAATCGCGAACCCTGGTCGATTGTCAATCTTGAAACAGACATCGAAGAAGGAGTTGGACAGCAGTTCAAATACCTTTTTCTTTTGATTGGAGCTTGTGTGCAGGGTTTGAGGTATATGCGAAGGGTGGTGGTAGTGGATGGGACCCATCTGAAGGGGAATTATGCAGGATGTATGTTTACAGCAAGCGCGCAGGATGCCAATTATCAGATTTTTCCGGTGGTTTTTGCAATTTTCGATGGGGAGAATGACAAGTCACAGACTTGGTTTTTTCAGAATCTTCTTAACATTATGCCAGACGCAGAGGACGTCGTTTTCCTGTCTGACCGGCAAAATTCCATTTACGCGGCACTTAGTAAGGTATGAAGGGTGATGCATCTGTACTTCTGATAATGTATTAAGACAATATCATAAAAAAAAAAGTGGGTAATTATTCATATATCTGTTACACTTGAAGGTGTATCCAAAAGCAAGGCACGGAATCTGTGTGGTGCACTTACAAAGGAATGTACAAGCCATTTTTAAGAAGAGGCACTTGGGTTATCTCATATCCAAAGCAGCTAGAGCTTTCCACGTCTCTGAATTCAACACACACTTCAACGAAATTGTGGAAATCGATCGAGCATGTGCTGAGTATCTTGCCTCCATAGGTTTTGAGCAATGGACACGTGCTCACTTCACAGGAGTGCGGTACAACGTCATGACTAGCAACATTGCTGAGTCATTAAACGCTACAATGGCAGAGACGTGCGGATTTCCTATCATTCCGCTGTTGGAGCATATCCAAACAACCTTAATGACTTGCTTTAGCACACGGCAAAACAAGGCCAACAATGAGTCGGGTGGGCTTACAAAGAGAGTTCAGGGAATTGTGGTTGCTAACTTCGAGAAAGGGACCGGGTATATCGTCAACCGCATTAACGAGAGTGAGTTTGAAGTGACAGACAAAAATGGGATAACAAATCGTGTGGATCTGTGTAAGAAAACTTGCACCTGTTGCGAGTTACAGCTCCTGTCTATACCTTGCTCTCATGCGGTAACAGCGGCTGTACGGTCCAAAGCAAATGTTGAACAACTGGTCGGAGAGGAGTTAACGACTACTTATTGGAGGATGGCTTACTCGGAGAGTATTTACCCAGTTCCAGACTATCAATCACCGACAGAGACAGATGATGTGATTGCTAACTTTTCGCTAATGCCGCCGGCAACTAGACGACCGCCGGGCCGCCCGCGTAAGCAACGCATCTACTCTCGAGGAGAATACAGGGTATCTTCTAATTTAGTTTGTCACTGAAATGTTTATTGTTGGAGTCTAAAGTTTATATTAACTATATAAGAAGTCGTTTAACGAAGTGTTATTACTCAATAAGTTTGCAGAGACGACTTGTGAGGCGTCTTACAATTTGTGGTCGGTGTGGTGGACAGGGACACAACTGAGCCACCTGTAAGAATCCGATCTAAGGTGTCAAAAAGAGGGAGGACTAGGACGAAAGAATTTGGTTTTATTTTGATATGAACCGAACTAAGGGCCGGCCAAATTTTCAACTGGTGACTTTGTAGTATATTAGTGTAAGTCCCTTAATAGACTGTGTTGTGTGCTTTACAGTCTTGGAATCTTTTTATGTCCGTTCTCCGTTTGTAATTTGTACTGCTGTTTCCTTCAAGGTTTGTAATATGGTACCTTATGGGATGTATAATATTTGCTTCATGAACAATGTTAAGCTAAGGGTACGAAATTTATGGTATTAAGACACCGTAATTATCGCATTTATGAGGCAATCGCAGCAAATTTATCGTAACAAAAATACATAGATTGTTGTAGTATTGGAACAGGTAACGTAACAAATTTCTTAACGGCTATCGATAATGTTAGTCCGTTACAAAACTATTTCACTGTCTAGAATAGGAAAAAAACTTAAAAACTTAGAGTACCTGCTCCTCTTCATCAATCTCACGGGCGTGGCTGGGGCTGAGCATCACCTTCACTGCTCCGGTTGCTGTTACGGCTTCGGCGTCCACCGTTGGATCGTTAACGCGGTTCGCATCTAACACAGTAGTTAGTTTTTTTTTAAACATATTCAATGATGTAAGTAGTTAATATTGTATATGGGAGCAGGTGACGTAACAGGTTTCATTTAATTATTAAGGGTCATTTCGTATCTTAGATGCTAAACTGTTGACATCACAAGTTGTATATCAAAATATATGTGTATCGAAAGTATATGTGCAGGGAACAAGTTGTTTTGACAGCAAGCATCAAGAAAGTGTACCAGAATCTACGTGGATCTTTAAAGACTACATATGTTATTAGATCGGTAATATTATTAATGGTTCTATGATAACGGAGGAAATGTATAAAAGGGAAAATAACTAAAGTGAGTGAAGCGTTAACAAACCAATCGGAAGTACAGGTACAGATGTAAACATAAATCCAATTCATAAACTAGGGATTAGGACCGAACTCATTGTAGAACATGACAGCTAACTTGTACGCCTCCGACGACACCAACTCCGTAGTTACCGAATGACAGCCCTCCAAACCCGAGCTTGCATGGGCCTGCATAAGTAACAAAGCAGTGACAGCAGAATCGGAGTTGATCTCGTTCTGTGGAATGCCCGTTACCCTTTCCAGAGCATAGGGTTTCTCGTCGCGCAAAGCTTTTGTGCTGGCGGCTTTGAGTAGAAAAGGAAATATGTTACAGATGGGGGTGAATTCTTTCTTAAGGGCACTGTCTGAACGGAACGAGACATTGCAGTCAAGCACGAAGATGGTTGCGGTGCAGATGTTGACACATACGCCAACCCACTGTCGTTTGTCAAAGTTAAAGGGAAAATACATTGACTCAGGTAGAGGTCGTCGGGGGTTCTCAGAATCAAAGTACGACATCAACGAGTCTTGAAATTTGAACTTGGAACGCTCTTTAACAGCGGTCCTCGTAAACTTGTCATACTGAGATTTGATTAACAATGGGAAAATGGTATCGAAAAACTCGATCTTTGAGTAGTTCAACGGATACAGTTGAGGGCCAGAACAGTTCCGGAGGTAGAACATTAATGGGTCCACAACCTACAGTGGAAGTAGAAGACACATTTACTGTTAATATATCCCATACCACAAATAGTACAAACAAAGAAGTGAGAAGACTAAATTACCTTCGGAGGAAGCACTTGTATTCTCTCGCCGATGGCAGTAACATCTTCGGATTCGAGAGATGCACCCGGGTAAATCTCAATAGGTCACCTTAATAAACAAACAATTGTAGACGTGATGATAAAAATTAACAGCTAAGAAAATGTTTTGCGGCTATACCAAGTAATATAGACTATGGAAATGCTGTCATACCGGTCGTGTGAAATCTTGGCTTTCAATTCCGCAAAACGAACACTGTAATTGACATTAGGGTCGCAGGGGATTATAAATGTCAGTTTGGGGGGGGGGGGAGCCTTAATTAAACCACATTGGTAGTCCTTATAAACAACGGACGACGTCTTCAGTCTCTTGCTTTTCCGAGGGATAAAGGGGTTGTTATCGGTTACGTTGACATTGGAGATGCCCGCCTCCGGATGCAGTAAGGAATCATCTTGTGTCAGACCAAGTGAAAAGGAAGGGGACACCGATAGCAGAAAATCCATCTACGTATTACAAACACAGTAGTTAGTATACAACAAGTTTAAAAGACATTTACAGCAAATAGAAAGAAACATATACCGCTTTAGTGCTTCCAATGTCATTAATGGATTGGTGATTAGCCTGAGTGTCATAGAGAACAAGCTGATTCTAAGGAGAAGACTGAAATGTGTAATTCTTAATTGGTACGGAAAATATTGATATATTAAGTTCAATAAAGGTACATGAATCCGAATATCATCTAAACCTTATGTTAGACGTCGAATAAAAACATAACGACAATCGAATACTCACCTCTGCAGTGACTGGTTTTGTGGTAACTATGACTGTGCTACTAACCATGGGATTAGTCTGACATTGGGATACATTAATGCCTGGGAACCCGGTACTAAAGCGAGAAACATCCTAGCTCTGTATTACCAACAATAACTACTAAATATATCAAGCGGTCGGAGAACCAAACCAAAAATTAAACAGTTACCTGGGCATTAATGGATTGGGTCAATTGCCGAAGAAACTCGTCATCGCTCATAGCAAGTGGCGGGGGCTTGTTCAACGCGGTAGAACGATATGAAGCTGGTTGAGTTTGGATACTGGAAACCGATACAGACTGATTACCTATTGATGTTTCTCTGAAAACATGTTCCGTGACCGAATCTGCCACCACATCAGCCGGGGATACTGAAAATGGAGGGTGCTGAGTAGCTGTGTTATCATCATCGGAATGTGTGGGGAGACCTCATTCTTCTGACACCCCATGTGTTACCCGGGCATGCTGAGAAATACTACGCATAACAGAGTCGTGAAATGATTTAAAGGCACCGGTAGTAGCTTGAACTATCTTCCCATCCTGCAACAGAACTGATGCTTCCAGATCGCGTAACCTGTTGTTAAAAGATTGCAGTTCAGGTTTCAATTTATCAACCACGAGGTCAGCAATTGCATCTTATCGAGAAAAACTGATGTGGAAGAACTCTCAGCTGTCTTGTCTTTCTTCTTCTTGTCCTTAGTTTCTTTTTCTTTTAAGGCCTTATCAGATCGCATTCGGGCCAACTCAGCGGCAGAGAGACCACCGGAGAACATATCTTTGGTAAACCGAAAACCTTCACCGATCAATTTGACCATGACATCTACGGCCTCGTCAGCAACTTCGTCTGCCCATCGTAAGTCCATCCCCTCGATAGCTATGTCACCATCATTAGGGATAATGGAATGGACTATAGCCTGATATGTCAAATGTTAACATCTAAATGTTATGGTAGACTACATATTAATTAATAGTATTAACGGAAACAATTTGTCTAAATCTTAGCGGCTATCGATAATGTTAGCCCACTACAAAACTATTTATCTGTTTAGAATGGGAAAAAAACGTAAAAACTCAAAGTACCTGTTCCTCTTCATCAATCTCACGGGCGTGGCTGGGGCTGAGCATCATCTTCACTGCTCCTGTTGCTGTTACGCCTTCGGCGTCCACCGTTGGATCGTTAACGCGATTCACATCTAGACCGCTAGCAACGTCAATGGCTGTATCGGATTCATCATCACAATCACTGTCGGATTCTCCGGACGGGTCTTGAACCACTTCAGTTAATGTGGGAACAGCGGCCATCATTACCAGCTGAATCGCATAGAAGAATCCTTTCACGGCGATGGTCTTCTGGGATAGCTCCAATTCGTCTTTGGATTTAATGCTAGATATAAAGAGATCAAACCCAACTCTGCCCCAAGGGTATGAATGGAAGACATCAATATCTCTAATGAGCTCAACATGTTCTGGAACAATCTTGGTAACATGAGAGGTTGGTACTAGAACATCGGCGGTGATGGCGAGACAGGCGCATTTAAATCTTTTCTCTCGGTCTGAAATTTTTTTCTTCAGCAACATGTTAACGACGGATTCAACGGTGCATGATTTTAATAGCCCAAATAGTTAAGGCCAGTAAGGTTTCTGTGCCACCAGATTTTTGAGTTTCCTAGTCTGAGCAAATTTCCCACATTCAAGCCCAGTGACAATAGCGAATTTGCGGAGAGAGAATCTAATCGGACGACCGGCGAACAGAAACCAAAGTTCGTGCTTTTTCTTCACACGGAGAAGTCGAGCTAGCATGTAAAACCCAAAACTTCCGGAGAAAGAAGGCATATCCATCATCGCCAATAGCCTTCCCATTTGAGAGTCTTTGAGTCTCTTAACTTCATCTTCGTCTAAGGCGTTGAGTATCGCTTGCACAGATTTGGACTTCTGGTACGAATTAACTCGTTTCCCCATGGGTTCTTGACCAGCTGCGAAAAGTCACTCGGGAAGCTTGATATTAGACATTCTGGAATCGCTGATTTCAAAACAGCTGAATCAGAGGAATGGATTAGATAGCGTAGATCAAATAATTTGGCATGGATTACAAATTTATCAGAAATTTACCTTTATTTTGATGAATTTAACTTCGGGTTTGCCGGAAACTGCCCAAAATTGTGAACTCGGAATTGTTCTGACTCGTAATGTTTAGAAACTGAAAACTTCTGTCTAAGAAGGAACATATCCTAAACGATATAACCGAGGATCGTTTAATTATGTGAATATCCCAATAATCATGTATGTAGCGGAACCTCGACATAATTTTATTTTGAATTTTGAAAATTTATCCGATTATCACTCTATCATATATTAA